ATTGAGAGTGGCGAATTATTTAGGCGAATCGACGATCCCGACTTTGGTGAAATTTAATCAATTCCTTTGTCCCCCGGCGATTGTACAATTATGTGTCGATATTAAATAAAGAGAGATTAAAAAACTAGAATTGTTTTTTTTCGCAATACGTGATATTACGTCATAAAATAGAGCGGAACCGTTTTTCTCGTTCTCCTTTTGTTCTTTTTTTTGATATGCGAAATGCAGGTATTTATTTTTATGGTATATTGTGCAGCAAAAAATTGCGTTGTTTATTGCAGTAATTAAATTCGCTGCAGAGACCAAATAAACTTTTATCGCGAAAATACATGTGCCAAGCCAATATATTTATTATTTTCTCGCAGTTTAAATATGTAACGAAAATTATATTATATTATTTTATTGCAACATTGTTATATATAATCGAGGAAAAATAATAATGCTTATTTTATACCGTACGAAAATTTTTCGAGAGTACTTTCCTTAAGATTATTTCGAAAATGATTCTGAGAATCTGAGAAAACTATCCTAAATATATAATATAAAAAAACTACTGATATCAATAGTAATTAAATTAATATCTAATATTAATAAAACAAAAATCTAAATTTACATCGTATAAAAAACATCTCTCCGCACATATCAGTCAAAAATGATTAAATGATTTAATGAAGCATTTATCGCGCAACAAGAGAAATTGGTAATGTCGCGTCGACGGGATGACATTTTTTTAATTTAATTTTTTTAGAATCTTTAATTTCATCGACACGTGTCATATTACAAAAAAAAATATGTTTTCGTGGATAATCGCGCGTGGGTGATATTTACAAAATGAATTTTGTTGCGCTTTCGATCAATTTTCGAATGCCGCTCCCTCGCAGCCACCTGGACCGAGACGGTGCAAAAGTGCAAACAATCGTTTCAGGTTCAATTAGCGTCTCGAATTCACGCATGGGCGTGCTGGACACGCGCCGCATTTACGCTATGCGTTCCGACAGCATTCCTCGTGTATCCGCAGCTATAATTCCACGGCGAGTCGAATGCGGCTCGGTTCGTGGCTTCTGAACATTACGATTATTAGCGAGAGACATATTTTCCGCATCTGCATTCATATCGATGCTTTGTGCAGTAAAAGCCACGGTCTTATATACAGGTCAGGACACTCATTAAAATGAAGTATAAAATGTGTAACCAATATAGCGGCCAACTCAGGTCTGTCATGTAATAATATATGTATTATATTATATTTCATTATTTTTCAATAATTTAATAAAAGCTATTCTTAAAATTTAATATTTATTCCGACGGTTTTTTAACCGTGCACACTTTTGAAACAGAAAATCAAATTACTTGCGTGATATTTATTTTCTCTCTTGTAGATTACAAATGGTTAATGTCAAATGTTTGTATATTAATGTTTGTGTTCATTAAAATTTTATATTTAAAATATTTTATTAATTTCAGAAATTTTTATTAAATAAAATATTTAAATAAAAATTACATAATATTCATATTTTAAATAAATGTAATTTTTGTTAGGGATTTTCTCGGGGATTTCAAGTAATTGATTGTTTATCTTATCATATGTGCAGTGAAATATTTTAATACGTATTGTTTTCATTTTGTATTTATATGACTTACAATTTATAGATTTGCTTTTCGTTTATATTTTATTAAATCATATAATTAATTTTGTAAATTATTATTAAATTATTATTTTTGACATAAATGCGATTTGTCATTTTTCGAATTATTTTTCTTGTTACACATTAACATTTGATATAATATTTGAAATAATACAAGAGATGAATATGTAGGAAAGGATTTATGTAAGTTTTTAAAGTTCCAAATATTACCTTAATTTAAAATTTTTCGGAATTATATTCTTTTTAATTATTATTTTCCTTTCTCAAACAGTTACTGAATATTGCATTTCAAATAAATATTTCTTTTGTGTTTACACATTTTTCGCGGTGAAAAAATAATATATAAATATTTTATACAAACGAGATTATACAAATAATTATTTTCAAATGTCTGTGTAAGGTTTTCAGTATATTCATTATTGTTATTTTTATTTTTATCGTAAAATAATGAAATTTTTTATCTTTATAATATAACGAGTGTACAAAAAAAATCTTTCAATTTCTTTACAATTAAATCAATTACCCGCTTAATAATGGAAGCGATTCGAGGAATTAATTTCTTTCGCTTGGATGAAACAACGTTTGTCATTCAATCACGTTATGCTAATTCCGAAGATGAGCAATCCGACCAACAGAAGCGTTTATTCAAATTTCAGCAGCGCCGAATATACAGGTAGCTTCTGCCGTTTTGTATTTCTGTTTTCGCCGGGCGAGGGAGAGAAAAAAAGCGTAGAAAATCATTGTTGCGTATCTGAAAAGTGAAAAAAATCGGAGAAATTGCCGATATGACGAATAATCTATATAGCGTGTTTAGGTTAGGTCAGATTTACTCTTCGTCGTTCTTCCCTCCCGGCAGTAAAATCGCGGCAAAAACTGTATCGCGCGCTCTCGTAAAGTTCGAAACGAATTCGCGACAGGGTGTGCCATTTCAATCCTCCCCCGGGGTGTTCGGGTGTAAATCGTGAAATACGATGATTTCTCGTATTTCGCGTTACGCGAGCGCGGTCGCCATTTTTTTCGCGCGCGCGCGCATGCGCGCGCATGCGCGGAATTGTATATTTTTATATTTTATCCCGCAGGGGATAAGAGAGAGAGAGAGAGAGCCGATCCCGGGCTCTTTTATAAATGATCGCGGGACGTTTTGCGTTGTTCCACCTTCCATTTTTCACGCGAGGCTCGGGATGTGCATATTGCGCGGTTTTTTTCCCCGGTGCATTATTAAGATGTATTATTCAGGATCAATTATCGATTCGCGCCGCGCGCACTTATTCGAATAATATCGCTCCGACAGATATCGATTATCGCGAACGGAGGGGAAAAAAGATGGCGCGATTCTGTATCGTTCGCAATTATCGGGTCGTCCCTGATTTCGCGCGTAATTAGCAGGATAATTAGAAGAACGATGGTCGCGTTTTAATTTTCAATTCTGTGTGTGTGTGTTTTTTTTTTTTTTTTTTTTTTTCGTCGTCGGCCGTAGAATCGGGCGGAAATTCATTCATTAGTTAAGCGCGGAAGTGTTCGATTGTGTCGGATGTCGGCCATTGAATTTGATGGCGAATACTATATATACTATCGCCGGCGCTTTTCAATATTTCAGGCCACCGCATATAGTCGCGCTAAAATAAGAGAGGCAGGAAAACGCCGCCGTGCGCAGATTGTATCATTTATTCATTATACATATTAAATGATAAAGCCGTTCAACGAATTTTTGTGCAGCTTTCGGTGTTATTCTTCGCAGCCGTGCAAACTTTGTTTCCGCATGTACAGTGTGTTATATATGCACGTTATTTAGAGAGATTTGCGTGCGATGTCGTATATCATATATATATAGTACATAATTATATATTTATTATATTAAATTTAAAGATATATATTATTTGTGTAATTAAAATGTATTATATAGAGGGTGTATCTAAATAATCGCGAAAAATTTTAGGAGATGATTCTTTGTCGAAAAATAAGGGGGGTTACTCTTAAAAATTTTATTTTTTTAAATATTAATAAATATTCTTTTTATTAGTGAAAAATATCCACAAGTTTCATCTTTTTGTTGCCTAAAACTTGAGGAAAAAATAAAAACCTAATTTTTACCTCATAAGAAGAAACCTCCCTTATATAATTTTCAACAAAGAATCATATCCTAAAATTGGTCGCACTTATTCAGATACACCTTGTATATAAAATATAAATATAATATTAATTATAATCTAAAATTAACCGAGAAATAACACCTATGTCGTACACGTATAGTTCTCCATTTTCCGAGCTCGCTTCGGGTTTATTAAAACGAACCGTATATAATCACGATCGTTAACATCCCGGGTCACTGACTATATTCGTGCTGTTTAATTGATTCGGAAACTTTCCGACGGTGGATACGCATTTACTACCGCCGTTGTTCCGGCGGCATTGCGTCGTCGATAGTAATTACTAGGGGGTCCGCAGTAATACACATCCTTCCTCGTTGCACTCTCCACGGATGATAAAATAAATAAAACATGCACAATACTCGTTACTGTGTCTTCTCGCGAGCGTTAACACGCTCGATATCCTGGAAAGGGTACGTCGTGTTCGCGAGTTATTCAAATGGGCGAGTTTCGTCTCCCTCGAAGAAGAGGTGACTTTTACGATCGCGTTTAGCTCGCGCCGCTATTTACCGCTCTCATTGTCGGGAAGCCCCGGGAATATAATCGGGAGATAGCCTAGCGGGGGATAGCAGCATTTAATAAAGTTAATATCATCCTTGCACACACGCGCGATTGCAATTTTATCGAAACCAGCGAATATTAATAATATAATAAAAATATAATATAATATATTTTTTATTTTAATTAATATATATTATATTTTGATATAATACAAATATAATCTAATATGTGCATTATATTTTAGTTATACGTATATGATGTAATATAATAAAAATTATAAAACTGTATAATAAAAATATAATAAAAATTAATACTTAAAATATAATAAAAATTTATACTGATACTGAGTGTTTAAATGTATATTATATTTTAATTAATATATATTATATTTTATAAATTATAATAAAAATTAATAGTTAAAATATAATAAAAATATAATCTAATACGTATTATATTTTAATAATAGGTACATTTATGATGTAATATAATAAAAATTATAAAAATGTATAAAAAAGTATAATAAAAAAATTACAAAATTATAATAAAAATTAATACTTCAAATATAATAAAAATATATACTGGGTGTCCCAGTGTCGCTCGAATGGGGGATGATTTCTTGAGTTCGCTGAAAGAGACGAGAAATTCAAGTTGAGGTTTGCGAGAAAAATTTTCAGAAAAAAAAGGAATAATTTTTTTTTTGTTATAGAACTCTTTAGAAGCGCGGCAGAGGCTGGTCCTCTGGACATCGTGAAGCTTCGCAAGGGAGACAAGCTCCTCAACATTTCGACCCATCTACCGCCGAACACGCCCGATACGCCTTACGTTCTTCAGGTAAGCCGCGTTTCAATCGGTCTATATATAATTGCGTATTTCCGCGACCTACATCCGGCCTGTGTGTGTGTGTGTGTGTGTGTGTGTGTTTGTGTGTATGTATGCATAATGCCTGTTTATTAATAATAATGGTATTTTGAATCGGCTCCAATACCGACGATAATTAACGTAACTCGTGCACTATGATGCAGCATGACTGATAAATCATTTCTGCGTATCGATGCGACGATAGTCAAATGAGTAGCGAGTTGCCAGGATACCTACTATTATTGTTTTATTTGGACGATCGGGAAAAAAAAAGATGCGCGTATCAGAATTCTTACGACGCGAAATGTTGAAATATCGTGTGTCCCATCTTGCAGATATATCGCTCAAGTTCATATGCGAGAAATTTTTTTAATTGTGAATTGTTCGTTCGTTCATCCCAAGTGACTTGTTTTTGTATTTTTTAGTCGTTTAATTTAATCATTTTTGCGGAAATAAATATTAACAAAATAATTTGTGCTTTCTGAAAGTTAAGAAATAATTTCTCGTTGCTCGTTCAAAGAAGTTTGAGGTATTAATTTTGATTTGTGTCGAACGATTAGTTTTTACCGGGATATAATTACGTCAAGAAACACGTGTTAAGCGAGTATACATACATAATATGTCTTGCTTTTCGGTAACGAGCGTTTAATCTGCGTAACATTGAATAATCACTGTAACATTATCATAATTAGTTTCATCGCGCGTGTGATGTGAATCAATATTGTCGGTAAAATACATTACGAGTTTATATCGCGAGACTTTGGTGAAAAGCTTTGATTATCTCTTCTATAAGCAATTGCCTCTTATCTGTATAACAACCCTTTACATATTTACGAGGATATCGATCTTTGCTTGTTAAACTGAGGAAACACTTTGAAAGCGTTTGAAAATTACATTAGACGCGCGTTTATGAAATATCCTGTTTTCATTTTTTAATAAAAATAAATATCTTGATATACATTAATTTAAATTATTATTTCTAATTATTTAAATTTTTATTTCTAATTTTATCGAATTAAAACTTTTACCTTATTTATAATTTTTATAATTCAAAATTTATTTAACTTTATTCTAATATTTTATACTGTTATCTTTTCTCTTTTAAAAATAATATATTAGCAAAATTATAAATAAGAGGAAATTGCGAATTATGTTTATTATGCATATGCACAGATTGAAAGTTGAACGAATTAATTTATATGAATTAATTAATTCAATCAGAGTGTAAGAATACATTTTTTAAAGATTATATAATACTATTTTCTAATTTCAAGTTTATTATATAATATCAGAATAGCGAATTTTAATTGATATGAATTTATTAGTTTGATCAGGGTGTAAGGAGAAGTTTTTAAAAATTATTACATAATAATCTAAGTATAAAATATATATTACTTAATAATATTTATATATTTTATATAATTAAATATTAAATATTATTATAGAATAATATTAGATAAATATATTCTACATATAATATATACATATATAAATATACATATGTAATATACATATATAAAATATATTATATATTATATAATATTTATATTATATATTATATATTATATATTATATATTATATATTAAATATATTATATTATATATATATATATATAATTATATAATATTATATAAAATATATATTATATAAATATATAATATAAAAATATTTATATATTTTATATGATATTAGATAAATATTTTAAGCGAGATGTCAATTTTTCTTCGCACAAGACACGTGTTATAACGAACGGAGTGCATTTTACGTGTTTAGTAGTCGGTTGCTTTTTTCAAGATCGTTGGCGCGCATCCTGCTTCCTCGGGGGTGATCGAGGCGGAGGTGCTTTTGGCTCTAGAGAGGCGCGTGACGGCTCTAGAGCGGCAACTGCGAGAGCATCAGGAAGCTTTATGCGCCACACCCACTCTCGCTCTGCGGGAATTGAAACGCCAAGTGGACAGTTTTAAGAACAAATTGGAGAACAACGACCAGTTGAACTGGCTCAGTAAGTACTCGTGTATATTGTGGATATTTAAATATAAAGTGTCTTTCTTCTCTCACTCTCTTTCCCTGCGTTCCGAACGACCTATTTTAGGGTTTACACTCCAAAGTGTCACGTCAGCGACTTTGCAAAAGCAGTTGTTTCTAATTGCTTTAGACATTCAGATGATGACTTTGCTACGTAATCTTGAAGCTCGTTGTGATTTCAATCTTCAAAATGTTTGCAGCGTCTCAACAAGATGGTACACTTCCAATTTCTTTCTAATATACGATATCGAGTCTAAATTCCGCGATCAGCTGATTGATGCGAGTGAACGTGACCGAGCTTTTTCGATGGACTTCATTTTTGCCGGTACTCGATTTTGTAATCGGATCTCGCGGCAACCTGACCACACACGGCATCGAAATAAATGAAATAATTCAGCGAAACGGAAATTCAGAGCTAATATCAATTTTACTTTTGACATAAATGGCGAACATTAGCGAAATGAAACGCGCTCTCTGGCCAGAACCGTCATTATTTGTCGATGATTATATACATGTGATAATGGGTTTCCTCCTCCCTTTTTCTCTGTAAATCCCTCTTCGGCTCCATTATCGTAATATTGCAAAGTGCATATGTGACTATTAAAAGTGATTTATTCTCACGGTGCTCTTTTGCGTTCAATTCGAGGGGTAGATTTTGATGGTGTCGGATCAATGTGCAATATATATATCGAAACGGAAAAATTGCGCAATCGTATTTCTATTCTATATGGGAAACAATGAGAATCTTGATGACATTGCGTCCGCCCGAAATCGAAGTGAAATAAAATTGAAGATAAATATGTGGTATATGTTTGAATGGCGCCCAGAATCGTCTCTTTCGCTCTTCGATTTGCTATATTTTTATTCATTTATTAGATACATATTTTTAAGGCCGTAATTTTGTATTTAGTTTAATTTGATGTATTTTAGGTATTTATTGAAAATCTGATAAAATTTTAATAATTTTGCTTTAAAGAGCCTTGTGTAGAAATATCCCTATATTTTTCTTCATTCATTAGATACGTATTTTTAAGGCCGTAATTTTGTATTTAGTTTAATTTGATGTATTTTAGGTATTAATTGAAAATCTGATAAAATTTTAATAATTTTGCTTTAAAGAGCCTTGTGTAGAAATATTGCTATATTTTTCTTTATTTATTAGATACGTATTTTTAAGGCCGTAATTTTGTATTTAGTTTAATTTGATGTATTTTAGGTATTTATTGAAAATCTGATAAAATTTTAATAATTTTGCTTTAAAGATCCTTGTGTAGAAATATGTGGAATAATGTTTTCATACATTTTTTTCTCCAAAAGCGCGGTAATTCTTGTAAAAGCCAAACTGTTTTCTATATTACCCGGGAAGTGAATTAAATTCTCGGTAATAATTAATCATATTTTTATATTTTAGCGCAAAGCTAAAAATTGAAAATATGCGCGGATATATTTTTTTTTATATAACATTATTTAAATCGCAAATTCTTCGTTTTTTCGATGGCATATTCGAAATATGGAAACACTTGAAATTTCGATTGTCCTAATGCAACTCGGTAATCCTATTAGTGGCGGATTGAAAAGTTTATTATGATTCAATATATACTGAATAATGCTGAATTCAATAAAATTAAATACGATCAAGCTCTCTAATTGCGCTTATTAAATTAATATTCCAAGTATCGATTTTACTGTAAATCGAAAGCGATAGTTTTAATAATATACATATCAATTTAAAAAAAAAATGGGTAATTTACGTGATGGGGGCAGACAATATGGCTTTGTGCATTTTTCGATATTTTGCTAAATCTCTGATGATTCGTAGTATATTTGCGGAATAATCCGTTCCGCGTTTGATGCAATTGACGCGATAAAAATTTCCCCTCGTCGAGATTGTTTCGACACTCCATTGTCCAGTAAAATTCGATTTTGATTTCAAAAAAATAATAATCAGATTGAATTTTTTATTTTGATGTTCTAATGAAATCCTGAAAAGTACCCTTAATTTCAGCCAATGCGTTTTTTATTTTTAGTTCTTTGCCACTATCTTGAAAACTATCAATTTTTCGAGAAAAATAGTTATTATCAAAATTGTAGCTCATAAAATTCCCTACAAAAAAGGTCTTTGTACTTTTTTTTGTGGAATTAATCGTTTCGAAGATATAGAGCGGATTAAGTCTGAAAGAAAATGTGCAGAAAAATTATATTAGAAATATTGCAACTTTACCGCACATTTTCCTAAAAAACGATTTGTTGTACGAAAAAAAGTATAATGACCTTTTTTATAGAAAATTTTATAAGCTATAATTTTAATAAATGACTATATTTCTCGAAAATTGATAGTTTTCGAGATAATGGCAAAAAACTAAAATTTACCTCCTTTTATCTTGCAAAAAAAAACCTCCTGGCTAAAATTAAAGGTACTTTTCAAGATTTTATTAGAACATCGAAATAAAGGTATCCACAAAAATTCAGCTTGATTATAATTTTTTTGAAGTTTTGCTCTTTTTAAGTCTAATTTAATTAGACTACCACGCCGAGACGCAGTGGGATAGGTCGGTCATCTCGGTCAAGTATAAAAGTTCCGCGAAAAGTTTTACGAGACCCGGCCGCGCTTGGAAGTCGGATATATATGAATAAATAAACAGTGATATGCGAAGATCGCGCTGCTGAATAAATATTTGCCCATGTGGGGAATCGTTCCAGCTATTCCAACTATCTTTGGCTTCTCATACACGGGATGGTTCTCCGCACGTGGACGTTGGAAAGCTTCACCATTAATTGGTCCCTTTGAAAATCACCTTGGCTTGAAATGTTTCACATTGAAATTAGATTCGAAGGGACTTTATTGTGCATTTTTTATTCTAACATTTGCGAAAGGAAATGGAAAAAATATGGGATTTTTAAATAAAATTATTTGATGTCTCGCCACCGTAAAATATGAATAAAATAACGCGGTAAAATCGATATTCACGCTCATTTTTTTACAGCCGGTTCTTGTCGCAAGCCTCTTACCGCGAAACGTGAAAGTTCTCAGGAGCTTAATCTGGAAATCGCTGTCTTCCGCAGGTCTTTACAAGCAACTTCCGGAGAACGTCTATATGGATTCCTGCCGCAGATTGCAATATCGCCGAAAGAGTGACAGCATGAAGCGGAAAGTTCGGGAGAAGTTCCTCAATATCTGGTGAGTCAATCAATAGCATTTCGAATTGTATAGCTTGAATGATGATAAGATCGTATCAGCGATGCATCGGTTCGTTTTTATATTCCTGCTTTTTATTTGAAACGTGAAAGATTGAATTGGAAAATGTATACTATACGATCGAAAAAAGTGATTTCTCGTGAAAAAAAGTAATCGAAAATTTTATACGAAGCTTATTCTCATATTTTTGGTTTTTCTTTTTTTAGTTTCCATGACACTTGATCAAATATATATTTTATTCAATAAAATAATTTAAATTAATTTAATACAATACAATATATTAGCAAAATTATAAACGAGAGAAAATTATGTTATGCATATGCACAGATTGGTAGAAGAGCGAATTAATTTATATGAATTAATTAATTTGATCAGGGTGTAAGGTAAAATCTTTAAAGATTTAGTCCAATTAAATTAATTAAATTAATTTAAATTATTTTATTGAAATAATTATTATATAATACTATTTTCTAATTTTAAGTTTATTATATAATATTAGAACAACGAATTTTAATTTATATGAATTAATTAGTTCGATCAGGGTGTAATGATAAGTTTTTAAAAAATATTATATAATAATAATTATATGTAATAAAATTATTCTCAAAGGTTTATAAAAAGAATCAAAATAAATTCAATTTTTTTTAATATAGCGAGACTGTTGCATCTTTTCGCTGAAAATTATTTAATTATAAAGGAGCGTAAATATGAGGTATCAATTTTTCAATTTCCTCGAAAATGAGAGGCTTCGCATTAAAAAATTTTATTTTCCACTTTAAACTTTTTTATCCTTTCGAGAAAGATTGCTTTCATTAATTGTATTACTCTGCATAAAAAATAATAATATACACTATAAAAAAATATGTAATATGTAATATATGTAATATGTAATATATGTAATATGTAATATATGTAATATATGTAATATATGTAATATATGTAATATTACGTAATATGTAATATTATATAATATTACATAATATTATACATTAATATGTGTAAAATATGTAATATATTACAAAAAAACATGTAAAATTACATAAATAATAAGTGTAAAATTCCACGATAAATAATAGAAGATGTTTTCCTGTACATTATTTATCATGTAATTTCACATTTATTATTTATGTATAATTTTACATATTTTTAATGTAATTTTACATCTTTTTTTTACAGTGTATACAATAAAAAAGAATCTAAACGAGATAGAAGAAATCCGACAATTTCCTTACCTTCGCGAGGAGCAACAGAGGGTTTGCGTTTATTATATGTACAATATATTGGACCGACGTAGACCTTCGTTAATACCGATATTACGTGGGCAGGATCGGCAATGAGGTGCTTTTGCGCGGGATGTTCAATCGAAATGTCAATAGAGCGGCCATCAGCGGGCGCGATGATTAAGCGGCTGCGATAATCCTATCTATTAAGCAGCAATATGCCGCTGTTTCCAGTTACATTGTCATACAACGGCGGTTCGATCGACCCGACTCCGGGGATATAATGCGAGAGAGTCCTCCGTGTCATTGTGATAAAGCGTCGATGCGCGATGTCAAGTATCGATCGGCGATCGCGCGCGCAGATAGCGAAAACGCGATCCGGAAGATTGATTAGCCAGGAGGAAAAGTTATTCAGTCGCTTTTTCTTTTTCGTGTACATGTAAGACATTTTTGACATTTACTCTGTCCGGCTCGAAAGTTTCAATCGAACCTCTCCTGACAGAATGTCACATGATATCGATAATGGATTGATTAATATTAATTCAGTGTCTACTTCCACCGGGAAAAGTGTCAGGGATACTTTCCGGTTTTTATCTTGAACAATCTGGGAATGAATTTTTAGGGAAGTTTCTTTGAAAAATTGTGTAACATGAAAAATAAAAAAAAATAAAATAAAAATTGTGACATAATAGTTTGATTAATATTAATTTATATAGGGTGTCTACTCTCTGGAAGAATTCTCCTTAAATTTTATTGAGAGAGAATTTAAAAAGAAAATTGTATCTTTGATAATTTTACTCTTGCTTATATATCTGTAATATTTAAGTTTTTATTAAAATCACAAGTTATTTTTTATTTTGACAATTTTTTAGTATCTAGGTCTTTTTGTAAGTTTCATAGAAAATTGTTAAATTTTTTAATAATATTTAAATAAATTAATATTCCCTTAATATTAATTATTAATATTAATTCAGTGTCTACTTCCACGAAAAATCGGGAAAAAGTGTCAGGGACACTTTTCGGTTATTTTATCTTGAAAAATCTAGGAATGTGGGATTTTTATTGAAACTCAGGGAAGTTTTTTGAAAAATTGTGTAACTTGAAAAATAAAAAAAAATAAAAATTGTGACATAATAGTTTGATTAATATTAATTTATATATATATTTTTTTAGTATCAAAGTCTTTGTAAGTTTTATAGAAAATTGTTAAATTTTCTAATAATATTTAAATAAATTAATATTCTTTTAATATTAATTATTAATATTAATTCAGAGTCTACTCCCACGAGAAATCGGGAAAAAGTGTTAGGGCCACTTTTCGGTCATTTTATCTCGAAAAATCTGGGAATGGATTTTTAGGGAAGTTTTGTTGAAAAATTGTGTAACATGAAAAATAAAAACAAAATTGTGACATAATAGTTTGATTAATATTAATTTATATAGGGTGTCTACTCTCTGGAAATTCTCTGGAAGAATTCTCCTTAAATTTTATTGAGAGTCAGAGAATTTAAAAAGAAAATTGTATCTTTGATAATTTTACCCTTGCTTGAGAAACATGTCTAAAACACGTATATCTGTATAATATTTAAGTTTTTATTAAAATCTCAAGTCATTTTTTTATTTTGACAATTTTTTTAGTATTAAGGTTTTGTAAGTTTCATGGAAAATTGTAAAATTTTTTAATAATATTTAAATAAATTAATATTCCCTTTGAAATGTTTATTAATAAATCAGTTTGTTTTTATATTTATATTTTATATTTTTGCATCTTTAGTGTTTTGACATTTTCACGATTAATAAATCAACATTAAATGCTAAAAAACCCGCATTCAACTTTTTTTACAATCGTATGAATAGAAAACACTAGGAAGCGCATATAAAAGAATTTACTATAAAATGTTACTATCTACAAATTTTATTTTATCTGGACTTGTTTTTACAAGATTTGAGTAGACATCTTTAATTATTTGTTATACTTTTTTCTCGGTTGAGTGACACATTTTTCAAGAAGGTAACGGTGAAATTATTAATTACATAGTAACTAACTGTATAACTAAATTAATTATGAATTCCTTGCTGGCGAGGAGTTTCTAGACATCACACGACGAGTGAATATTTATTTACGTTTAAATATACATATACCTATGTATATAGTTGCAGCTTATTTATTATAAAACGAATAAGAGATTACGGATAAATCAGGTAATAATGATAAAGCCGTATTGCAATCGCTATCGAAATATCCTCTATTGAAGTTCATAGTCAATAAAGCGTCCACATCGGTGGCTTAATTTGCCACATTGAACGTCGAAGATCAAAGGATGCTGCGCGCAAAATTAATTACGTAGCGGTGTAGAAAGTATGGAGAATTTGCGAGGAACGATTATGCATACATATATGTATATCGGGGAGAATTAGGGATAAACAATTCGGTCGGAATAAAATATTGATTATATTTGCGCGCGTCGAAATAACGGGAGGAATTGATTGCGATTATCGGGAATAATAAAGTATATTGATTAATTCCCCGTTTTTGAAGCCGCACAAAGAGATAACAAATTGGCCGGCAATGTCACGTGAAATCTCGACATGTGCAAACAATCACGTTTTTTGGACACACCTATATTTTCTCTTTTCCTGATTCGCGAATATTAAATACGCGAATATAAAACAGTTATATTCGGCAAATATCGCTCCTCCTTTTTAATGAAATTTTTTTTTCAATTCACAATGAATTCGAAATTGCACATTCGTTATTCCTTGAATAAAAATTGCACGCGGCATGAAAACGCGTTCGATAAAAATGGATTGCGATACATATTGCAATCCCACGTTTCAGACCGCAGAGACATACGGGGAGTTTTATTGTGAGATGTAAAAAGTGGGATATATTATATATATAATATAAAAGAGCTATTTTTTAGTTTGACGGATGAAAATCCTTCGCAAAAATCGCCATTAAAGATCATTTCAAGTATTTTTTTTTTTCCTCGGAATAGCATTACATTAACACTCGATATTGCGAGACAATCGAATAAACAGTCGGAAGACGAATGAATCGTATCAAAGTTGACTGATTTGATGATGATGGAGCAGATTAATGAATCTTCTCCTAAGGACGATGTCTGTTCTTGCGGAAAATCACCGTTGACAGTGTCGCGACAAGTAAATCCCCAGATAAGACTGACATATCGATTTTGTACTGTTTAAAACAGACAATTCCGCTTAGTCACATCTGCGCGATATGAGCAACTCGCGATACGATTGAGAAAAATGATTTATTTCATGTTATAAAAAAAAATATTATAATGCGTTCGCAGAAAAATTACAAAGTATTAATTTAAAAATTCTTTTTAATTTGTTTAAAAAATAATTTAAATAAATTAATAATTCTTGGGACATTTATAGTAAATTATTTTCTGGTTTTATATTTTTATTTTTATTTAATTTTTATTTAATTTATTTAATATTATAATGCGTTTGCAGAAAAATTACAAAATATTAATTAAAAAAATTCTTTTTAATTTTTTTAAAAATAATTTAAATGAATTAATAATTCTTGGGACATTTATAATAAATCATTTTCTGGTTTTATATGTTTATTTTTATTTTGTTTGATATTTTTAGCTTTTAGAAATAGTGATATATTTCAGTTTGTTATTCAAATTAATGTTAGAAAAACTGCATTCTTGATAAATTTGCAATTGTAGAAAACATTAAAAAATACATAATAAAGAAACTTATTTTAAAAAGCTGCAGCTA